GGAACCCAACTAGCTAAATTGGTTAACCACACCTTTATTCAACCTTGGTCGAATGGAACTTTTCTTGCTAAAATAAAATCACTATTTATTTATTTATTTATTTATTTATTTTGAGACAGAGTCTCGCTGAGTTGCCCAGGCTGGAGTGCAATGGCGCCATCTCAGCTCATTGCAACCTCTGCCTCCAGGTTCAAGCGATTCTCCTGCCTCAGCCTCCTGAGTAGCTGGGATTATAGGTGCATGCCACCACGCCCAGCTATTTCTAGTAGAGATGGGGTTTCACCATGTTGGCCAGGCTGGTCTCGAACTCCTAACCTCATGATCCGCCCACCTCAGCCTCCCAAAGCGCTGGATCACAGGCGTGAGCCACTGCGCCTGGCCTTATTTTATTTTTTTTAAAGCTATCTCCTACAGGAAGGAACGCATAATTTTTTATTTTTACTTTTTTTCTTTTTTTTTTTGAGACTCTCGTTCGGTCGCCCAGGCTGGAGTGCAGTGGCACTCTTGGCTCACTGCAACCTCCGCCTCCTGGGTTCAAGCGATTTTCCTGCCTCAGCCTCCCGAGTAGCTGGGATTACAGGCGCCTGCCACCACGTCTGGCTAATTTTTGTACTTTTAGTAGAGATGGGGTTTCACCACGTTGGCCAGTCTGGTCTCGAACTCCTGAGTTCAAGTGATCCGCCCGCCTTGGCCTCCCAAAGTGCTGAGATTACAGGCTTGTGCCACCTCGCCCGGCTGGAAAGCATAATTTTCAAAATGGTTATAACAGAAATTAGATTGGAAAGGGGCCTGTAGTAGAAACATGACCTCCGGGTAGACCAGGAAGAAAAATTAGATTCAGAAATGGCAGGGCTACTCTTTCAGCTTTACTCTTCTCCAACTGGGTTGTCGGTGCTAGTCCACAAATGTGAATAAACATTAAAGCAGACAGGTATGCAAGACGGAATCTGAGAAGCATTCTTTTGGTATATACAAAGTGCCTGTTGCGTGTTCAGGTAGAAGACCATAGTGCAATGGAGGAGACAGATTATGTCGACAAATTATTCAAATATAGTGTACCAAATATGCAATGTAATTAGGAAAAAACCCGAGGGCAAAAAGAAAGGCGTGACAATGCTTTGGGGAATTTGGAAAGGTTTTATTGGTATGACATTTAAGTTGGGCCTTGAAGGATAGGGAGATGTTTGTCAGTTATGTTTAGAAATGTAACCAGAGGAAGCCCAGAAGCCTAGAGCGTTAAGGAACTGCGCAGCAACTCAGGCTGGATTGAGTACTGGGCTGATGTGTCAGATGCAATAACACAATGAGAGGCAAGGAAAGCAGGTCGGGGGCTGGAGAGAACAGGATCTGCAAGGTTCTTGTAAATCAGAAGGCAATATGGCACAGAGGTTAGGAGAAACGCTTCCTTCTAAGTTGCGCTCCATCACTTGCTAGCAGTATGATCTACGCTGGCATGGGCTTGGGCGTACCCATTTGCAACATGGGAAAATAGTCTTTTCCTTATACGGCTTAAATGACTGAATGGGTATCAGTCAGTTAGGGCAGCGTGCAGCTCTTATTAAGCGCTAAATGAGAATGTATTATCATCACGAAGCCAAATCACGCAAAAGCTCGGTTTCTAGGAGGGTCCCCCAGCCTCCTCCCCACTGCTACCGTTAGGGAAAAAAAGTTCTCTCGGTTCGGGCCGCGCCCACTCCCCACTCCTCAGCCCTCCTAGGCCTCCGACTTTCTTCAGCGAGCAGGGCCGGCCCAGGGAGGGGGTAGATGGGCCTGGTGGGCAGCGGAGACGCAGCCGCTTACCAGGGCTCGGGTCCCGCTCTTCGTCCTCCGCTGTTCCGCGGGCCTTGAAGCCGGGCGGCAGGGCCGGTCCGATTAGGTCTCTTGCCATCCGCGGTGGCTGACACTGGTCACAGATACGAGTCTATCCACGAACGTCAAAACTACCCAAATGGAATCCAGCGATCAGCAGCAAAGAATGGAAGGTTTCCCGACGCCGACCAATGACGTAAGGCCTGTGGTTGGCTGAGCGGCGTAGTTCACCGTAAAGGAAGTGACGCCTAATGCTTGCTCCACAGTCGCGTGCTAGACTCCGGACCCGGCAGGTGGTATGGCTGAGCCGGCTAGTGATTTCGTGACTCCTACCGGGTGGCGTGCGTCTCCCGAGCTGACTCCCACGTTAGGGCCGCTGAGCGACACTGCCCCGCCACGGGACAGCTGGGTGTTCTGGGCAATGCTGCCGCCGCCGCCACCACCGCTTACGTCCTCGCTTCCCGCAGCCGAGTCAAAGCCTTCCTCTGAGTCGCAGCCCCCCATGGAGGCCCAGTCTCTTCCTGGGGCGCCGCCCCCCTTCGACGCCCAGATTCTTCCCGGGGCGCAACCCCCTTTCGACGCCCAGTCCCCTCTTGATTCTCAACCTCAACCCAACGGCCAACCTTGGAATTTCCACGCTTCGACATCATGGTATTGGAGACAGTCTTCTGATAGGTTTTTTCCTCGGCATCAGAAGTCCTTCAACCCTCCAGGTAGGCTATTTTTCCACGTGGGTCAACCCCTTTACCTTTTTTCCCCGTTCTTTCCTCTCCCCTTTCTCCGTTTCCTCACTCCACTCTGCCTTGCCTCTGCACTCTTGGAGTCTGGTCATTAGTATCTCAAAATATATCTGATTGGAATGTTTTCCTGTTGCCTGTTAATTCCATTTAGCAGTTGTTTATTGAATTCCAACTATGTACCAGAATTTAGGTATATAGCAGTGAGCAGAACATACAAAAAATATTTCGGAGCTTAATATTAATATCTCTCTTGTGTAGGAAGACAGACAATAAACAAAATAAAATATTGTGCATTAGAAGGTTAAGAGTGCAGTGGAGAGAGATAAAACAAAGAAGAATGGTAAGTAGTGCAGGGTTTTCTTTTTTTTTTTTTTTTCTTTTCTTTTTTGGAGACAGAGTGCCTCTGTCGCCCGGGGTGGAGTGAAGAGTAGCGCGATCTACTTCACTCCAGCCTATGCAATCTGCAGAGAGGCTCACTGCAACCTCTGCCGGGTTCAAGCAATTCTCGTGCGTCAAACTCCCGAGTAGCTGGGACTACAGGCCCGCGCCACCACGCCTGGCTAATTTTTTGTATTTTTAGTAGAGATGGGGTTGCGCCGTGTTGGCCAGGCCTGTCTCGAACTCCTGAGCTCAGGCATCCGCCCGTTTCGGCCTCCCAGAGTGTTGGGATTACAGGCGTGAGCCACCGTGCCCGGCCGGGTAGTGCAGTTTTAAATATCATTGTTAGTCATAAGAAAGGTGACATATAAGCGAAGACTTCAGGGAGGTGAGGGATCACAGCTATGCATACATCTGGGAGAACAGGGGTATAGGCAGAAGGAACTGCAAGTGCAAAGGCCTTGAGGCTTAGAAGCTATACATCAAAATGGGAACCAGCGTGGCTACAGAGGACTGAGTCTGGAGTATAATTGTAGAAGATGGGGGAAGAGGGTAAGACCTGGTATGTCTTTGTAGATCGTGGGACTTTGACTTTTACTGTTGTGAGGTGGGTAGTACAGGGGATTGACATGATCTGATTTACTTAAGAGGATTAATGTGTCTGTTGGTGGGAACTGACTGAAAGGGAAACCGGTTAGGAAGCTATTGTAATTACTTGTCTAAATGAGAGACACTGGAGACTTGGACCAAGGTGAAGCCCAAAGGATGGTGAGAAGTAGTTGGATTCTAGATCTAGGGATACCTTGGAGCTCTTGTGGGTTCAGTTACAGACCACTGCAGTAAAGCAAGTCACACAATTTGTTTTTTTTTTTTTTGGTTTTCCAGTGCATGTAAAAGTTATGTTTTCCTGCAGATCATATGGGGCAAAAAAGTTATTTTTACATTATACCACAGTCTGTTAAGTGTGCAATACCATTATGTCTCAAAAAACAACTTACATACCTTGATTAAAAAATACTTTAGGCTGAGCAGGGTAACTCACACCTATAATCTCGGCACTTTATTTATTTCTGTTTTTGAATTTGTTGAGACAGAGTCTCTGTTGCTCAGGCTGGAGTGCAATGGCGCGATCTTGGCTCACTGCAACCTCCACCTCCAAGGTTCAAGTGATTCTCCTGCCTCAGCCTCCCAAGTAGCTGTTATTACAGGTGTCCGCCACCAAGCCTGGCTAATTTTTGTATTTTTAGTAGAGACAAAGTTTCACCATGTTGGCCAGGCTGATCTCAAACTCCTGACCTCAAGCGATCCACCCTCCTTGGCCTCTGAAAGTGCTGGGATTACAAGCGTGAGCCACTGCACCTAGCCTAATCTCAGCACTTTGAGAGGCAGAGACAAGAGGATTGTTTGAGCCCAGGAGTTTGAGACCTGCCTGGGCAACAAAGTGAGACCCCCGTCTCTACAAAAAAAATAAAATTAACCAGGCATAGTGGCATGCCTGTGGTCCCAGGTGCATGGGAGGCTGAGGCACGAGGATTCCTTGAGCCCAGGAAGTCGAGGCTACTTTATCAACTGAGTTTGTATAATATTATAAATCCTTTGTTGTCATTTCAACAATTGTTCATAGCGTCTTCACCAGGAGTAGATTCCATCTCAAGAAACCACTTTCTTTGCTCATCCATAAGAAGCCACTCCTCATCCATTAAAGTTTTACCATGAGATTGCAGCAAATCAGTCACATCTTGTGGCTTTACTTTTTTTTTTTTTTGAGACAGTCTCGTTCTGTCGCCCAGGCTGGAGTGCAGTGGCAAGATCTTGGCTCACTGCAAGCTCCGCCTCCTGGGTTCATGTCATTCTCCTGCCTCAGCCTCCCAAGTTGCTGGGACTACAGGCGCTGGCCCCCATGCCTGGCTAATTTTTTGTATTTTTATTGGAGGTGGGGTTTCACCGTGTTAGCCAGGATGGTCTCAATCGCCTGACCTTGTGATCCACCCGCCTAGGCCTCCCAGAGTGTTGGGATTATAGGCGTGAGCCACTGTGCCCGGCCCCTCCACTTCTAATTCTAGTTCTCTTGCTGTTTCTACTGCATCTGAAGTGACTTCCTCCACTGAAGTCTTGAACTCCTCAAAATCATCTATGAGGGTTGGAATTTCTTCTTTCAAACTCCTGTTAATGTTGATCTTTTGACCTCCTTCCATAAATCATGAATGTTCTTAATGGTGTCTTGAATAGTGAATCGAAACCTCCTTTCTAGGTTTTTAATCTACTTTGCTCAGATCCATTGGAGGAATCACTATCTATGAATCACTATGAATTTCTTTCAAGAACTTTTCAGCCAGGCACAGTGGCTCACAACTGTGATCCTAGCACTTCAGGAGGCCAGAACAGGAGGATCCCTTGAGCCCAGGAGGTTGAGGTTGCAATGAGCTTTGACTGTACCTTTACATTCCAGCCTGGCTAACAGAGTGAGACCCTTTCTCAGTAGTTACATTCACAACTTGGCTAGCTGTTTGGCACAAGAGGCCTGACTTTTGGCTTGTATCAGCTTTCAACATGTCTTCCTCACTAAGCTTAATCATTTCTGGCTTTTGATTTAAAATGAGAGACATGCGACTTCCTTTTGCTTGAACACTTAGAGGTCATGATGGGGTTATTAATTGGCCTACTTTTGAATATTGTGTCTCAGAGGATAGGGAGTCCTGAGGAGAGGGAGAGGAGAAGCACCGGTTGGTGGAGCAGTTAGAACATACACAGCATTTATAAAGTTCACCATCTTATATGGCCATGATTCATGGTGTCTCAAAACAATTAGAGTAGTAGCATCAAAGTATAACAGATGTAATAAAAATGAAAAAGTTTGAAATATTTCGAGAATCATCAAAATGTGACACAGAGACAGCACATTGTTGTTGGAAAAATGGTGCCGATAGACCTGCTTGATGTAGGGTTGCCACAGACTCTTAGCTTGCAAAATCTCAGTAAAATGAAGTGCAGTGAAACAAGGTATGCTTTTATACCTTAAAGGTGCGGACAGCATGATTTACTGAAAGATAGGGTATATGGGATGCAAGATAAAGAGGAGAGAAGGATAATTTAAAGCTTTTTGCCAAGTAGTTGGAAGGGTGGAGTTGCTACTAACTGAGATAGGTAAGAATGTAGATGGAGCAGATTTGGAAGGAAGTCCAGGAATTGAAATTGGAATATATTTGTGTCAGGTAGAGATTCTGAATAGGCTTTTAGCTATTAGTCTGTACTTTCAGGGGAGATTTGTGGCTGGAGCTATAAATTTGGGTGTTGACACCATATAGATCATATTTCAAGCTACAAGATTGTTCACTTAAAACCTTTCTCCAACTTTGCATAAAATTCAATTCTGCATTAAACTGAATCCAAACAATTAGTGTTTTATTTATTATCTTATTTTATTTATTTATTTTTTTAAATAGAGTCTCTCTCTGTCACCCAGGCTGGACCAGTGGCAGCATCTCAGCTCACTGCAACCTCCACCTCCTGGGTTCAAGGGATCCTTCTGCCTCAGCCTCCTGAGTAGCTGGGACTACAGGCACGCACTACCACGCCTGGCTAATTTTTTTATTTTTAGTAGAGACTGGGTTTCACCATATTGTCCAGGCTGGTCTCGAGCTGCTGACTGCAAGTGATCTGCCCGCCTTGGCCTCCCAAAGCACTGGGAATACAGGAATGAGCCACCCCGCCTGGCCCAGACAGTTAGTGTTTATTGTATGGCAGATGCTGGAAATATGGACTTGGCTAAGTCAGATGAGATATGTTCATAAGTATGAACCAAAATACAATGTGACTGATGATAGAGGCATATAATAGCTGATTTCAGAATGTAGAGGAAATTGGGAAAAGCTTTTGGAAGAAGTGTCTTAGGAGATGTATAGTATTTGGGAAGAGATGTTTCTTAGGTAGAGAAGGAGGTGTCAATACAAGGCAAGTTCTGGAGATTGCAGGGTTCTGGTGTGACTGAAGCAGAGTATGTAAAAGGTATGGGGAAAGAGTAGGGTAAAAAAGTAAATTAGAATCTCATGGAAGGTCTCTAGGAAGCTGTCTTAGTCCCTATTGTGCTACCATGACAGAGTATGACCTGTTGGGTAATATATAATGAACAGAAATTTATTTTGCTGATAGTTTTGGAGGTTAAGTCCAAGATGAAGTGGCTCTTGAGGACCTTGCTGCATTGTAACATCAAGGAAGGCATCACATGATGAGAGAGAATGAGAGAAGGTCAAACTCATCCTTTATTATTATTACTTTTTGAGACAGAGTCTTGTTCTGTCGCCCAGGCTGGAGTGCAGTGGCACATATACGGTTCACTGCAGCCTCGACCTGCTGGGCTCAAGTGTTTCTCCCATCTCAGCCTCACAAGTAGCTGGGACTACAGGCACACACCACCAAGCCTGGCTAATTTTTGTATTTTTTGTAGAGACAGAGTCTCGCCAGGCTACTCAGGTTGATCTCGAACTCCTGGGCTCAAGTGATCCGCCCACCTTGGCCTCCCAAAGTGTTGGAAGTATAAGCGTGAGCCATCATGCCAGCCCCTCCCCCCACTTTTTTTTTTTTTTTTTTTAAGAGACAAGGGGCCGGGTACAGTGGCTCACGCCTGTAATCCCAGCACTTTGGGAAGCCAAGACACGTGGATCACTTAAGGTCAGGAGTTCGAGACCAGTGTGGCCAACATGGTGAAACCCTGTCTCTACTAAAAAATACAATAATTACCCAGGCGTGGTGGCACATGCCTGCAATCCCAGCTACTCGGGAGGCTGAGGCCAGAGAATCGCTTGAACCTGGGAAGCGGAGGTTGCAGTGAGCCAAGATTGTGCCACCGCACTCTAGGCTGGGCAACAAGAGCAAAACTCCATCTCCCCCCACCGACCAAAAAATGAATAAATAAATAAGAGACAGGGTCAGCTGGGCGTGGTGGCTTATGCCTGTAGTCCCAGGACTTTGGGAGGCTGAGGCAGGCAGATCGGTTGAGGCCAGGAGTGTGAGATCAGCCTGGGCAATGTAGTGAGACCCCATCTCTATAAAAAGAATAATTTTTTAAAAAGAGACAGAAACAAGGTCTTGTGCTGTTGCCCAGGCTGGAGTGTAGTGGCATGATCATGGCTTACTGCAGCCTCAAAGTCCTCAGCTCAAGTGATCCTCCCACCTCAGCCTCCACTGCAGCTAGGACTACAGGTGCGTGCCATCATGCCAAGCTATTTTTTAAATTTTTTTGTAGAAATGGGGTCATGCGAGGTTACCTAGGCTGGTCCTGAAGTCCTGGCCTTGTGCAATCCTCCTGCCTCAGCTTCCCAAAGTGCTAAGATTATAGGCATGAGCCACCATGCCTGGCCCATATGCAGATTTTTGAGTCAAGTTGTGACAGGATTGGAGAATTTTTTTTTTTTTTTTTTTTTTGGTGTCAGTATGCAAGGTTTGTTGGAAGAGAGGGGGCTTAGGAACTGGAAGACAATCTACGAGTAATCTGGTGGAAGATCAGAATTTCTGACTTGGGGCATGGTAATAAGAATAGAAAAGTACAGTGGGATTTGAGAGGAGATATATTTCACAAGGTTCTGTTTTCCTGATGTGAAATTGATGCTGAAGGAGCTGTGTTGGGGATTTTACTGGTTGCATTTCTGATATTTGAAATAACCGAAGGAATTTCATCAGGTTAGGTTGTCCATTTCTGAACTTTGACGCCTAAAGCATCTGTGGACATATCACACCAGTCTTTGTTTGAAAAATAGTCATTTGGTAGACTAATCTTAATCTTTGTTATTTTGTTTGAACTACTATTCCTCCTAGAAGGGTAGTTTAGCAGTGTTTTTACTGAAATACTTGTAACATACTATAGTAGATAAAATTTAATTATAATTTAAATAATTATATTGTTTCAAACGTTTATGGATCTCTTTTTTTTTTAGTTAAACATTCTTATTATCCACGAAAGTATGATGCAAAATTCACAGACTTCAGCTTACCTCCCAGTAAAAAACAGAAAAAAAAGGTATTTGAAAGATGTTCTTGAATTTGACCCCTTGGTCCCTATGTTACTGTTTTATATCTTGCATTTCTGTCATAACTGTCTTCAGTGTTTTGCTTCCATTATTGACACAGTGGAGCCTTGCTATAAAAAGGAATTTTATGGTTAAACATGAATATAGCAAATTAGGATTCAAAAATAATATTTACCTAAATTTTTTTTTCTTTTCTGTGGTTTTAAAAATAGCTATATATTTGGTACTTTCATTTTATTTATTTATTTATTTTTTTGAGGTAGAGTTTCACTCTCGCCCAGGCTGGAGTGCAGTGGTACGATCTTGGCTCACTGCAACCTCTGCCTCCTGGGTTCACGCAATTCTCCTGCCTCAGCCTCCCAGAGTAGGTGGGACTGCAGGCGCACACCACTACACCTGGCTAATTTTTGTAGTTTTAGTAGAATTGGGGTTTCACTGTGTTGGCCAGGCTGGTCTTGAACTCCTGACCTCAAGTGATCCACCTGCCTCTGCCTCCCAAAGTGCTGGGATTACAGGCATGAGCCAACAAGCCTGGCCATATAGTTGATATTTGAACAACGCAACAGTTAGGGGTGCAGTCAAAAGTTTGTGTATAACTTTTGACTCCTCTAAAACTTAACTACTGATGGCCTACTGTTGACTGGAAGTCTTACCAATAACATAAATAGTTAGTTAATATATAAATAGAATGGTGTCCACATATATTTTATACTTTCCTAACATACTTAACTATTTCTTTTTTTTGATATTTCTAAGGCTATGTGGTTTATCTGTTTTTCCAAATTGTCACAAATCTCCAAAAAAATTTTTGCAATATATTTATTGAAAAAAATCCTTTTATAAGTGGACCCTTGCAGTTCAAACCTGTGTTGTTCAAGGGTCAGCGGTAGTTATTTTTTTCTAAAAGATGAGCTGCTGTTTTTACTCTATTTTCAGGTCATTTCAACATATTCTGTACTGAGTCTTAATTAGATAACCAATTTGCAATCTGCTCATCATTTATATTAGCACTATTTGGATTTTAAAAGTTTAAAATTATGCCTGGATTTTACTAATATATTTGTTAAAAACAAAATAAAAGAAAGAAACAGAATAATCTCTTCATTGGAAATATACTCACAAGTTTCTCCCACATGAAAGGGTTATTGGAAACATCAAAGTATGTATTACTAGAACAATAGTTATGTTTTTATTGTTGATTAGAGATTTTTCACCAAAAGCCTAATTCCTCTCTGTTTTTGTTTGCAGAAAAGAAAGGAACCAGTTTTTCACTTTTTTTGTGATACCTGTGATCGTGGTTTTAAAAATCAAGAAAAGTATGACAAACACATGTCTGAACATACAAAAGTAGGTTTTCTTAGTTGTCCTGAAACTGATGTAGCAAAGTGGCCTTCTTCTATATGTATATTTGGTAGAAATTCCAAGCTTGTTTTCCTTTAAAGTTTATAGTTTCCATAGAAATATAGTTTGATGACTTGACAGACGGGGGCAGTGACCCTGGGGTTTGAAAGTGGGGATCCCACTGCTTCAGGGAGGAGGTAAGGTGGTAGCAAAGAAGGGAGCTCTGGCAGCTTTTTGTATTTGTGTACCTCTGCTGCTTGGGAAGAGGCTGTCGTCCCCTCCAGTTACCTTGTGCATCTTAATGAGTTCTTTCCCCTTTAAGTCTGCCCTTGAACCATACTGTGTAATGTGGCCGTGCCTGTCACCCTCAAAGGCTGGTCCACACCTTGTCAAGTACTTTCTAGAAAACTTTAACCAAAATGTTTTAAAGGTTAAAAAGGAAGCCTTTGGTTTGGAAAGGTTCTTTTTCTGCTTTTGGGAATGCCCCTCAACTTTAGGAATCAACATTTCACAGGTTTACCGATGTATGCCTTCACTCAAGTGGAGAAGTAAATAAGATACATTATTGTGCCATGTACTCTGAGAGTGTCATTCCTTTGCCTAAAGGCAGCCCTGTTTTGGAATCATTTTTGTTTTACTACTGACATAAGTATGCAGAGATAATACCATGTAGATGGGATAACTATGTAATACAGCCAGAATATGTCTGTGTATGTATAGTGGGGTAAATGTAACATGGAAACATTTATTAAGTAGTGTTTTTTTTTTTTTAACTCTTATAGTGCCCTGAAGTAGATTGCTCTTTTACTGCACACGAGAAGATTGTCCAGTTCCATTGGAGAAATGTAAGTTCTGTTTTTTTATCCTATTTTTAAATACATGCTCTTTTTATTTTATTGATCTGTTATCTTCACAACTGTTCATTTATATACCTAATAATAAGTAACATTCATGGAATACTTTGTAAGGATTTTGACATCATTTATTCAAGTTTTTCCTCACAAATAACTGTGGTTGTTTATATTGGCCCCATTTAAAATATTTTAAAAAATGAATTGCCCAAGGCCTGAGAACCGATTCTTGGACCTCAGTTTCTTGACTCCAAATTGTATACTGCTTTACTACACCATGCTGCTACAGATTGTCACGTCTACTCATATCTTTAGTGACCTCTCTCGGTTTTGGTTGGTAAGTCATTCATTTGGGTGTTTAATGTGGTTTGAGAGAATGGGTGACATATCTACTTTGTAATCAAAATTATGTTACCCCTTTTCCCTCTATTAATAGCACTAATTAAATACATGATAGATTCTTCTTCCTTTAAAGAAAAAGTTATAGTACAGATAGATACAACCTCCTTACTTAGTTTTAAAATTGTATCCAACATAAGTTTACTTGTAGAAACAAAGTCTCCAAATTAGTCAAAAGCATATGATATTTCCTCCTGATGTTCAGCAGGCTTTTTCCCCCTAGATGCATGCTCCTGGCATGAAGAAGATCAAGTTAGACACTCCAGAGGAAATTGCACGGTGGAGGGAAGAAAGAAGGAAGTGAGTAGAGTTCAAAACTGGTGAAATAACTATTTTACTGTGGCAAGGCTTATTAATATAGTTAAATTCATTGAATTCCCTTAGAATGTTGGAACTAGGGAACAGGACCATAAGGCATATTATGTAAGACTATTATTGAATGTAGTTTTAGGAGGACCTAATAAGAACTCTTCATTTAAGTAGCGAATGTGTCATAATGGGACTGTACGTTGCTCTTTGAGGAGGCTACTACATGTCACCTGTTAGATGTTCAGTGGTTGAGGCAATAATGGGTGGGTACTCTTACCAAAAAAGTGTATTATACAGAAGTGTATTATCACAGAAAAGTACATCTGGTACATCACCACATATGTCAGTGGATTTAAACCGAAACCCTTAAGGTGAGTCAAGTACAAATGTAACCTGTTGCTCACAAGAGTTTGAAGTATGTTTCTTGATCTTTAAGGATAGTTCTTGTTTTCATCCCAGGCTTACCTCTAAATAAGATATACAGGTGCTAAGGCTAAGATATACAGGTGCTTTTCCTTAACAATGAGAAGATCAGGAATTCATTCCTGTAATTAAAGAAATTTGAGCATCGCCATGTAACTTGTGGTTTTACACTTACTAAGGAAGAAAGTTTAGTTGATGTCTAGCTGTAATATACTTGAAATTCCACTAGGGCCCTGTTATACTGCCTTCTCAGAAAAGACTAGAACGCTTCTTCCTGAAGCGGAAGACTATGCAGAACTACTCTAATGATCAGTTGCACTTTTAAAGTCCACTGCTCTTTTCCTGGAATTAAAAAACAAAGAGAGCCTGGGATGAAAACAAGAAGAACTATCCTTAAAGGTCAAGAAAGATACTTCAAACTCTTGTGAACAGCAGGTTACATTTGTACTTGGCTCACCTTAGTTTAAGGTTCAGTTTAAATACACTGACATGGGTGGTGATGTGCCAGATGTACTCTTCTGTGAAAAAGTTAGATGCTGCCCTTTACAGCTTTAGAGGTAATTGTGAGGGAGACCAGCAGAAGCATGAAGATTCAGAACTAACTGAGAATAAATATAATTCAACAAACGTGTATCAGGTATTAATACTATGTGCAAAGGAAAGAGTTGGATGAGGGTGAAAGGACAATTAGAAATCAAGTTTTTTTTGAGACAGAGTCTCACTCTGTCACTCAGGCTGGAGTGCAGTGGCGCAATCTCGGCTCACTGCAACCTCCACCTCCTGAGTTCAAGTGATTCTCCTGCCTCAGCCTCCCAAGTAGCTGGGATTACAGGTGTGCGCCACCACACCTGACTAAGTTTTGTATTTTTAGTAGAGACAGGGTTTTGCCATGTTGGCCAGGCTGGTCTCGAACTTCTGACCTCAAGTGATCCACCTGTCTTGGCCTTCCAAAGTGCTGGGATTATAGGCGTGAGCCACCATGCCCAGCCGAGGAATTCAATTTTTAAACAAGTCGGGTCTAGCCAGTCAACAGGGACTTGGTGGACATAACGTAGCATTTCAAGAGCATCTGTGGCTAACAAATGAAGGAATCTAGGCCACCTGGAGTAGAGTATGTTAGAATGCCTTTTTCCTTTGATCTCTTTGGCAAAATCTTATTTATCTTGTAGGCCTGTTTTAAAGGTTGCCTGATTTACCACTCTCTTCTTACTCTTCACTTCCTCTATGTCAGTGCTACCAGAGTGCCAGTCTATAACAAAAGAGCTTGTACCAGAATGTAAATCAGTATATTACTTCCTTTATTGATAAGAAAAAAATGAAAAAATGTCAGTTGAACTAAATATCATGCTTAGTGACATAGTTGATTTCTACTCTGGTGTGTGTGGGTTGGCTGGTTGCCAGTCCCTGAAATACACTACCCTAAAGCATTAGTTACTACCTCCTTTGCAAATACATAGCTTATTTATACAACCATAGTACATTTGTCACATTACATTATAGTTGGCCCTGCTCTTATACATCTTTGATTCTGCTGTGCTTTGCACAGTGCCTAGAATTTAGTATGTGAGAAATACATATTTGTTGACTGAAGTACTGTTAAATAGTGTAGAGTGGGAATACTTAACCGTGGCAGTGATAAGGGAGCCTTAGCCAATTGCAAGGTCAAACTTAGAAGTTGAAGGAGTTTGGACCATGCTGTGGTTTGAATGTGTTCCCCAAAAGTTCATTTGTTGGAAACTTGGTCCCCAGTGTGGCAGTGTTGAGAGGTGGGACCTTTGGGAGGTAATTGGATTGTGAAGGTAGAACCCTCATAAATGGATTAATTCATTCATGGATTGGTGGATTAATGGATTAAAGAATTCATGAATTATCAAGGGAGTGGGCTTATTATCATCAGAGTGAGTCAATTATAAAGATCAGTTTGCCTGTCTCCTGTGAACCCCCTTGCCATGTGATGCCCTCTGCTGCCTTGGGACTCTACAGAGTCTCTACCCAGCCACCAAAACTGTAAGAAATAAATTTTTTTTCTTTATAAATTATCCAATCTCACATATTCAGTTATAGCAACATAAAATGGACGGAGACCATGAAGTAGTTTGACTTAGGAATTTTGAAGCACGGGATCTGAAGCTCCTTGCCTTCTGTAGGTAGCTTCTTTGCAGATACAAGTTTTTCTCCTCATGACATCACTTCCCACGTAGCTGGGCTTTTTTTTTAATGTTTTGTTTGTTCTCCTTGTTTCTTTTCTATCTGTTGATTGTTTCTTCTTCCTTCTCTTGTTCTTCCTCTTCTTTTTCTTCTTCCTCCTCCTCGTCCTCTTCCTCCTCTTCCTCCTCCTTCTCTTCCTCCTCCTTTTCCTCCTCTTCCTCCTCCTCCTCTTCCTCCTCTTCTCCTCCTCCTCTTCTTCCTCCTCCTCTTCCTCCTCCTTTCTTCTCCTCTTTCCTTCTTCTTCTTTCATTTTTTGCATAGAGCAGTAATCAAACAAGAGGTTAACTCCACTTCCTTTCTGACATGTATATTATAAAGAGCTGCTGCTGAATATATGAAAGATTGTATCCTGCTAGATGGGATGGAAATGGCCTAACTGCTAAGACACTAGGTTTTTTCCCCCTGCTACTTAGCCTTGACTTTGATCAGTTAGAGGTTGGTTCAACTCATTGGTGTCAGTCCCTTTTATAAATGTTTAATTCTCTTGAGGGGAATGGTAGCAGTTACTAGTCAGCACTGATTGTAAAACAACTCGAAAGTTATCTGACTAAACTTACATTTCTGAAGCTTTGAGTTTACTGAAGGGTATAGGAAAAGTCTGAAGTGACTTCTCGATTTGCCAACTTTGGTTCTTCTATCTTGTGATTGTATAAATTAAATCATTTAAACTGGGAAATGTGGAACCACTATTAAATTAATGGTAACCAACTTTACTCTTTCTACTTTGTCTATAGCACTTTCACTCTCCCATGACCCTCTACTATTCCCTCCCTCAGCATATAAGAGGAAGGGGACTTCTGTAATCCCAGCACTTTGGGAAGCCGAGGCGGTTGGATCACAAGGTCAGGAGATCGAGACCATCCTGGCTAACACGGTGAAACTCCATCTCTACTGAAAATACAAAAAAGTTAGCCAGGCGTGGTGGCATGCACCTGTAGTCCCAGCTACTCGGGAGGCTGAGGCAGGAGAATGGCGTGAACTCGGGAGGGGAACTTGCAATGAGCCGAGACTGTGCCACTGCACTCCAGCCTGGGCGACAGAGCGAGACTCTGTCTCAAAACAAAAAAAAGAGGAAGGGGATTTCATCTAGTCTGGAAGATTAGGGTGTTTCATGACAAAGGGAGGGGTAGCTGAACTCAGAACTAACTAGGAAAAGATAAGGGGAGGCAGGGATTAGTGGTCAGACAGAGGTTAGCATGTTCAAGGAACTGTGAGTATAGGTAAGAAAAAAGGATGGCAGTTGTGGGGGTGGAGGGAACGAGGTGGATGTAGAACATTTGGGAGGTGAAAATGGACAGTGGGGATTAAATGATTATGAGGTTGAAGAGGAGAGAGGTTTTAGGAGACTTCCAGGTTTCTGGGCTGAGCACCTCTGTGAAAGGTGGTTCCTCTTACTGAGGCAGGGAACACCGGAAGAAGATGGGGTTTGGAGGTATTGGTTTGGACATTGTTGAGTCTGAGGAGATCCTGAGGCATCTATTTGAAGATGTTGAGTAGGCATTGGGACTTGGACCAGACTAGACTGGAGATAGTTTTCTGAGTCATGAAACTGTGAATATGGAAGAGATTCCCCACAGAGACAGGGTAGAGTGGAAAGAGAAGGTAGCCTAATATTGAACCTTGAGCCCTTCCAACATAAAGGTCTAATAAAGAATAAAATCCAACAAGCCTGCTGAGTGGGAACCAGAGAGGTCGAAGAAAACTTCCTCTGGAAGCCAGCGGAGGGGAGAATTTTGAGAAGGAAGATATGGTTAGCAGTGCAGATTGCGATGGAAAGGTCAAATAAAACGAGAACAGAAAGTGACTGATGTTGTGACATACACAGGGTCTCCTTGATGAGGGTTCCAGGTGATTCCTCCTTGGCCCTTCTCCTTTGAGCTCTGTGCCATCTGTCTTCAATTCTCATACCCTCCCCAGGGATTGATTGCCTTTGTCACTCGCCCTTGGCATGTTAGATGCTGCAGTGGAATTGTATATATTTTGAATTCATTCAACACCTTTTCACTTTCAGATTTCTAACCGCCAAGCCTGGGCAATCAAGTGATACCCTGTATCTACAAAAATAAAAAATTAGCCAGGCGTAGTGGTCTGCACCTGTAGTCCAAGCCACTCAGGAGACTGAGGCAGGAAGATCCCTTGAGCCCAGGAGTTTGAAGTTGCAGTGGGCAACTCACGCCACTGCGCTGCAGCTTGGGTAATAGAGCGAGACCTTGTCTCAAACAAAACAAAACAAAATAAATTTCCAGTGCCCTTCACCTTCATGCAGTTTCAGCCACTTACTTTACATCCTAGATTCTAAAGTTGGACGTACTCCTCTTTCCATCTGTCCAGCTCACTGTCACCTCTACCAGGCTTGGAAT